TTCACAATTTAGGTTGTTAACTCTGGAAAAAAAAAAATTTTTTTTTCCTCTCTTAGCCTCAGTTTCTTCATCTCTAAAATGAAGATAATAGTGCCTTCCTCACAAGGTTATGGAAGTATTGTGCATTAAGTCCCTGGCACTATAAGGAAACTCAATATTTAATATGTCAAATCCCTTGGGCGCCTGGGTGGCTCAGTTGGTTAAGCGACTGCCTTCGGCTCAGGTCATGATCCTGGAGTCCCGGGATCGAGTCCCACATCGGGCTCCCTGCTCAGCAGGGAGTCTGCTTCTCCCTCTGACCCTCTTCCCTCTCGTGCTCTCTATCTCTCATTCTCGCTCTCTCAAATAAATAAATAAATAAATAATCCTAAAAAAAAAAAATGTCAAATCCCTTCCCAGCCCCTCCTAGTGATGTGCCTTTTATAGAGTTCCCAGTTTAAGATCACCCTAACCGATGATTAATAATTGCCTCTGTCATGATTGTTACTATTCTTTTCTAATAACAGCTACCATTTCCTTGAAAAATTCCTATGTGTTAAGTGCTTTAAACATGTTACCTCACTTAATTCACACAATAGCCATGTAATTGCATAAGGCAGGAACCACTATTCTCCAGATAATAAAACTGAAGCCTGGTGAGATCATGACTGCCCACAGCCACACAACCACTAATGGAAGGACAATCAGGTAGCCTGGCTTCAGAGCCCAACCACATCATGATTACACTGTGGTCCTTTATCTTCTGGCCTATATATATACATATATATCATGCACAATAGCAAAGACATGTGAATGAAGAGTCCACACCCTTTAAAAATAATTCTCACGTAACTACAAGTTCAGACTGAGTTCTACTGGCAAAGCTGCCTGTGAAAACCTGCCCTGGGAGATCTGCCCACACACTACACTAATTAATCCACTCTCATAAAAACCATGGGACTGATTTTGATCTACAAGCCATGAAATGTACATTCAGGAGCTTTGTTTCCACCAGAAAGCCATCCAAATTGAATTGGATGTTTTTTTAAGTTTTTCAGCTAATAGCTCAAACTTAAGAAACCTTGATTTCCCACCCTTTACCGGATCAAGATGGAAAATAAAATACCCCCTCGTCAATGTGAGAAAGACAGTAAAGGACAAAGAAGAATTTTTAACTCTTAAAAAAATAGAAAAGTAAACAGCCCATTAACTGTCCAAGATTTTAGAGCAAAAAGAAAAAGCAATTATTAAAGGATATAGACACACTCACTCATAGAGTACATCTCATGCCAATGCCTCAGTGGGAAGATGGAAGCAGGCTTGGCACAATAAATAAATAAACAATGCATCCCAACCAGCAGGCACTCACCACAAGATGCCCTGCAGAGCACCCACGGCTTCAGCTGACATTTTGTTTAGGTTTTTTTCTTAAATCAGGTTTATGTGAACCAGTGACAATGAATTCATGAATGAAGGGAAAGGGTGCATTCATTATTATTTGAGGCAAATCTCACTCAAGAGAAACATTGAAAGTTTACACATGAACATTTCAAACTGTAGAAAGAGGAGGGAAATAAGGCAGAAATAATGATTTCAAGGATGTCAAAAATAATTCAATCATTCCATAGGCCTTCACAGAGAAGACAGTTCTTATTTATGACCCATGAATTCAAACATTCTTAAACTTTTTTTCTTGATCTGGCATGGAACTCCAGGGCAACATCTCACTAATGGAAAAGATAAAAACCAAGAAAGGAAGAAATAAGGGGACAGACTCACTCTCCACCCAACATGCAGTTTGATTTGATTTCAAATCTGATTTGATTTCAAAAGTGACTCCATCTTCTCTCCTCTGGTAATTACTACCTGTTGAACTTTTACCATGTTTTGTTAATTATGTCCACTTAACTATTTTATACAACAGAAGACTATGAACCTAGCTCTATTCACTATAAAGGGGATGAGGGTGGTGGTGATGGTGGTGGTGGGGTTGGTGGTGATGGTAGTGGTGGGGTTGGTGGTGATGGTGATGATGAGGGTGGTGGTGATGGTGGTGATGAGGTTGGTGATGGTGGTGGTGGGGTTGGTGGTGATGGTGGTGGTGATGGTGGTGGTGATGGTGGTGATGAGGGGGGTGGTGGTGGTGGTGGGGTTGGTGGTGATGGTGGTGGTGATGGTGGTGGTGGGGTTGGTGGTGATGGTGGTGATGAGGGTGGTGATGAGGGTGGTGGTGATGGTGGTGATGAGGGTGGTGATGATGGTGGTGGTGGGGTTGGTGGTGATGGTGGTGGTAGGGTTGGTGGTGATGGTGGTGGTGGGGTTGGTGGTGATGGTGGTGATGAGGGTGGTGATGATAGTGGTGGTGGGGTTGGTGGTGATGGTGGTGTTGAGGGTGGTGAGATGGTGGTGGTGGGGTTGGTGGTGATGGTGGTGATGATGAGGGTGGTGATGATGGTGGTGGTGGGGTTGGTGGTGATGGTGGTGATGAGGGTGGTGGTGATGGTGGTGATGAGGGTGGTGGTGATGGTGGTGATGAGGGTGGTGAAACATTGCTCTACCCCAGGACTTTCTAAGAAGACCTGGACTGTTAGAAAAAGCCACTCAGAAATAATACCCCTCTTTACCCAGCCCTGCTGGAAGATGAATCTTTATTAGAACCAACCATTTCTTGGAGGCCCTCATAAAAAAGTAACAAAATAATCGGACCTAAAATGTATTTATTTGTTTGTGTTTATGTGGCAAGGGAGAAAAAAATGAATCCTAGGAGGATCTCTGGATTTAGAAGATCCATCGATTTAAAATGCTCATTCGTCTACATACTGCTGCAACTGGAGAAGTCAGGTTAAAAAAAAAAATGTCTTGGTCCTTAAGTCCTAACATTACAGGAAGCATCTGCTTTGAGAACAATGACTCATGGCCTCTGATAACAGAGTAACCTTCTCCTTTCAAAGAGGGAGAGTGCTCCCAGAAACAGCATTTTCAATGAAACTGTAGGTCAACAGAGTCAGAAAACAGCCACTAAAAGAAATGCATTCTCTCTCTCTTTTTCAAAGATTCATTCTGCTCTCAGGATAGTGTTGTCTGACCCAGCCTTGAGCACTTTAGCCTTCCCAGAGACATATGACCAACTCTCTTCCCAAAAGAAAAATCTAAGAAAAAAGTTTTAAAATGAGCCACAGTCCCCACTTCCCCCATCTGCAGTGTTGGTACTATTTGCAGAAAAAAGAAAAGAGACTGATAAAGGAGATTGCAGAAAAGATAATGCAGTAGAAATTCTAAAATAAGAGTATACAAACATCTGAGCAAAGCCCAAATATTTATCAAAATCATCCATGTTATTCTGGACCTCTGCATTGCGAGTAAAACTGCCACTCTAGTAGAGCCAAAATGATAATTCTTAGTGGATAAATAATGAATGTGGAACTACATTAAGTATTGTCTGCTCTGACTTAGTACTTCAATATTTTCTTTAGCCATTATCATAAGACCAGGGTTCATTCATTTTCAGAAATAATAGTTCAGTAATGAAAGCAGAAGTCTACCCTCATATAAAAGGAAATAATGCATCCTCCATCTTCTTCTTCAGTATTACTACTGATAATACTAACAGCTGGTGTTAAATTCCTCATAGGTGCTGGATACTAACTTTCACTTTACACCTGCTCTGGAAAGTAAGTTTCATTATCCCCATTTTACAGGTGAGGAAATTGAGGCTCAGAACAGTTAGGTAACTGCACAAGATCATACAACTGGTGCTAAGACAATCTCAGATCTTAAGCACTAGTCTACATTTCCTCTCCAGGGAAACAAGGCCTCCCACTTTCCTGACATAACTCCTATGAAAGACAAAGTGGTTTGGCTCCCAAACACACCACCTCTTCCTGACTTCTATCCCAAACTTACCCCGCTAGTCAGTCAATCTCCAGTGGAGGAAAAAAAAAAAACCACAGATATAGATAAACTTTGATTTTACCTTCTTTAATGATGGTGTTAATTTCTCTATGTTGGTAGAGAATCAACATTTATAAAACAAACTATTGTGGAATCCCGTCCACCCTTCATTATGTGCCCTTAAATTAATTTTTTAAGATAACTCTTAACATTATAGGCATTTATGCCTCAATCTCTGCCCTCTGATGAAACATCTGAACATGCTTCTAGTTAACGGTGTTTATAGTTAGGTGGTAGGATTATGGGTGATCTTGGTTTATTTCCTTTACTTCCAGGATGTAAGCACCAAATATATACTACTCTTTCCATTAGAAAAAAAAAATACAATAAATGTTCATTTTAATGGAAAAAAAAGCTTAAGTATTTACCCTCAAAATTATTTTTCCCTTCGTATTAAAAAAGAAGACATTCATCGACCCAATTTAATCCTAAACCAGATCTGAACCCAAATTTAAGAGACGTGGGTTCTTTTACAAATGACTCCCACATTTACATCATTTTTTCCTGTACCTTAAAAATTAAGAAATATTCCATAAAACTGAACTTTAACACTGTGTCGCTCTTTTCTTTTCCACAGGCCTACTTAATAAAATCCTTAGTACTCAATAAATATAAACATGGTTACATATGGTTTACATAAACTATATATAAATATATATCAGACTATTGACCTTGCCCATTTCCCTCTCTGGGCAGTCACTGGCCTACATTTCCCAGCCTCCTTTGCAGCTAAATGTGGCCATTAGAAGAGGAACAGAAGTGATATGAGCCCCTTCTAGGTCCATCCCATAAAAACCTCCCACATGAGAAACTCCATGCTCTTCCCCTGCAGACTTGGAAGACACATGTTGATGAGGGAGCCACAAAGTGGAAGGAACCTGGGTCTGTGAATCTCAGCTTGGGGTAGCATCTGGGAACACCATTTTGGACTCTACTTGAGCAAAAATTAAGTGTACTACCTACAACACTGCAACTCTGGGGTTTCTCTGTTACCCTACCTAACATGTGGCTTTATTAACATACTGCAGTTATTACTACGGAAGGGTAAGACTTCATGCTGTTTATCTTACCTTTTTCAAAGACTCCTTCTGTTTCCAGGACAGAGACAGTGAGGTTGGCTGCTATCTTGACCAACTCGGCCTTCACAGTGACCTGGGAGGGGCTGTGTTCCAGAAGCTCCACCCCAATAGTCACATTTCCTCCAGGCCTGACGATCCCTGGGGCTGTCACCAGAAACCTAGGCCTGAAGAGTTCCCAAGAAGAGGGAAAAAACAGTTTCTTATCTTTACATCTCCATTTGTTTCCGATCCTCAAATTTCAGATAGTGAGATAGACTTTCCATACTATGCCAATTGCAATTGTTCCAATTACTCCAGTATTGCCCCACTGTTCCATTTAGCAGCTGCACTGAAATTCTATTGAGAAATTCTAATAAATCAATCTTAATACAGTAATTCCTGCACCCCTAGAGGAGAGCGTGTGTTATTATTTCCATTTTATAAACCACAAACAGCACAGGATGAGCTTCAGTGTAAATGGCTTACATTGGGGCATGCAGAAGTTATTGGCAACGTACAAGCCTCCAAACTTCTCCTTTACAACCTCATCCCAGCGTGATTTTTTTCTTGGCTTAAACACACACACACACACACACACACACATACACACACACTCTGCGGTTTTTATTCAAACTTTCATCCATGGGCATCTGCCCCAGAAAACATCATCTAACAAATACCACTGACTGAAATATACCATCGGAAATTAAACAACCAGTGGTAAAATGTCCAGGTGTAGCAGTGCATAAAAGTCCGCAAAAACAACACTTTCTCTGCCCAAGCCAAGGGTAAAGGCTCAACTGCAAAAACCCGTAGGAGAGGGGCACTTTCCATTCACGTGGGTGTCTCATTAGCTATCTTCCTACAGTGTCTGCACCCGAACCAATTCACCTCAGTCACACCTTGCCAATGACGAACCTGAGAGACGTAGTTTAGAAAAAAATACCTCACACGCCTTTGAGAAAAGAAGGCACACTGTTTGGGAGGGGGAAAAAATGTTGAGGAAAAGGCAGAGGCAACGTGTACTAAAACTAAAACGTGTCTCTAGAAAGTCGTTATGGTCAGAAAGAAGCTTCAACAACTTCCAGGGGTGGAGAAGGTGACTGTCCCACGGAGAACCCAGTTGCAGAGACAGACGGTCTACCCTCCAGGCCGGTGCTCGGCTGGGGAGCGCGGCCGCGGGGCAGGTTCCCACCCGCGGCCGCACAGCCGCCGTCCACTCCGCCCACCGGGC